TTATGTAAACTCATGTAAGGACCTGTTTTGGGATTAAGCAAGAAGCAATCATATTTGCTCGGCTTCCTTAGGGAGCCGGGAGACCTAACCCTAGCTGCCGCCCCTGCTCTCTCTCTCTCTCCTTCCTCCATGCCATCCCTCCTTCCACCCTTACAACCTGAGACCACGCCCTGGTAGGGATCTGGTTCCTACCAGCGCTATACATTCTAGGTATCGTGCCTAAAGGCGAAAACAAATAGCATTATTGCATCAACACCAAGCTTTGCAGCTGGAGATAACTCGTTTATTCTTCAAACATAAAAACTAGCTTGTGTACAATAATTTGGTGAAGTGGTGCATGGTTACAACAAAAGTTGTTATAATGGGTACACATACATGCGCAGCTGGCAGTAGCCACCCCTAATTGATATTTGTTGGTTTATACCTTTATGGTTTTGCCAAGTTACTTACAGATTTATGCCAAACAATGCATTTGCACACACGACAAATTGTTGGAAAAATACTTCTTACGTTCCTAAAAGTAAGGCCAACAGTTTTTTTTTCAAAAGTCAAACAGTGTGAAGTTTGATCAAGTTTATAGAAAAACTATTAATTTCTATAATACCAGATCAATACAGTTAAATACATAATATAATATTTTTATACCATGTCAATGTAGTATTATAGATTTTGGTCGTTTTTTCCAAAAAGTTAGTCAAACATTGTATTGTTTGACTTCTGGGAAAAAAATATACGCCTTACTTTCAGGAACGGAGGGAGTACGAAGATAACCCAGAAACATATTTCCCACTTTCTAAGACCAGTGCCCACTGCCCCACAAGTCTCAGGAGAATATTAACAGCCTCAGCGAAAGAAATCGCAAGTAAAAGAAAACAAAGAGATAAAAATTCAAGCCTAAAATAGAAAAAAAAACTCAAACCTACCTCAACAAGTCTAGGCAGCACCAATCAGGTCCTTTAATTCAACAAGTCAGTCAGCAAGTTCTTGATACTCCTCTGAACCTACGAAGTCCATGGCCTACATAAGATAAGATCAATATTATATTATCAGGGAGAACTTCTCAAATTCCAGTACTGAGAGAAATGGGTCAGTTATTATAAATGGCATGGCTTTCTTTTCATCGTGTCATTCCTGGTCTGCATTTCACATGTTCATGAACTAAATTTTGTTGTTAAAGATGGCTACTCTACATCCTTGCGATCATTCAAGAATTAATAGTAAATATTGCAAAACCACAACTGTTGAGGTATCAACGTTGCTTTTTACCACCAATCTATGGGCAGCCTGTGTCTCAAAGCCCAGATCTCACACGTTCAGGCTCTTAACAGCCTTACCGACTGCTTGCTCCCATATGCCAGTGCTGAGGAGGCAGAGAAGCACCACCAGAAGGTAGACCGATGAATCACGGGTTGAGCCTGACCTAGCCAGTATAAGCCACACGAGAGTACTGCTGTCGTTCACTTCATTTGTGGAACTCAGTTCAGCCTGTTTCAACTCGGCTAACTTACAAAGCAAATCCCCAATACCGATCAAACAGTGAGTCCCTAAAATTCAATAAATGTGTGGTCTGAAAAAGATATACAGCTAAACTATCGGTTTTACAAACTGTCAAACCAGGTGTTACAGCAGCACGGTCTATCGGTCACGCTGCAGGACAGCCAAAGCAATGATCCTATGCAGCCGTAGCATCATTGTTGTAATTTCTTTGCACCACACTTCAATGCTTGACCTATTTGAGAGCACGTGCTGTTAAAAGATTACTCTTGACCTTCATCCCCAACTTGGAACTTATCGAGCTGATTGAGTTGCTTGGCTGCTCACTGAACATTATCCATTCTTCACCTCTCCATTATGGCGTACTTGGATGCGGCGGATGGCAGCAACTCGAAAGTTTTCTTGGCAGGAAAAATAATAGCAGGGAGGCGAGAGACGCGGGAGAGCATGCTATACACCGGCTGGTCGGCCTCAACTCGTGTCTCGTCCATCTGCTACATGGCTGCGTTACAGGACGGACCATTGCCTACTCGGCACATGTGGGCCAAGGCTGTTAAGAGACCTAAGGGGTAATATTTCGTCTTTAAGACACAGTCCCCTGGCTATAATGGTGGTCATATGATTTTTTTTCCAAAAGTGGTGGTTAAGTGATATAAGTGCCAGAGTGGTTGAGATTTTGCGATATTTCCTCATGAACTATATAGTGGGCAGCAAAACCAAAAGTCAGGTACCTCTTTCAAGGAGCTTTTAAGATGCATCTCAGCTAACAATAATTCTTGTTTCCTTCCTGTCGTGGATGAAATTTCCATGTAGAACTTGCAAAGTGCAAAGAAGCTTGAGCAAACTTTTTGAACTTCTTATGGTCATGACATAATTCTGAACCCTGTGAGGATAACAATCACTAAGATGATGTGGAACTATGAGTACTAGAACATAAATACAGTACACAGTCTGTTGCAAGTAGAAAGTAACAATGAAATAAGAATACTTGGATTCAACAAGAAAATAAAGTCAACACTTACACAGCATTCATAAAATTTCCAAACGAATAAGTAATTATACATCAATTAAAGCCAGTGCTACTTAACAAGATAGTGAGGATATACGAATACACACACTGTAAACCAGAGAAGAGGAGATTTGGGGGAGGCCACACATGGTGCAACTGCCGTGGGTGGCCTTTTTTCATAAGGTGCTCAAGGAGCAATTAGGGTTTACAAACACTATTACAAGGTATGCAGAATCAGTAAAAGCAAATATATCGCAAACACACACAATTTGTAGATGCCATTGCAAAGACGGAAATCTTGCCACTGTCAATTACTTCCTCCATTCCAAAATATAAGACGTTTTATAGCAAGCTAAAACATCTTGCCAAAATGTCTTATATTTTTAAACGGAGGAAGTAAATACCATCCACTCTTTCTTTCTCGTGCCTCCCCACACCATTCCCCTTCTCCAACTTATTAGTGTGCCAGCTTTCTGTCACACTCTTAAGCCCTAGGACTCACTGCATGCTAGTGTTCAAGCACACTTGCTCATCATCACAGACAACGACCATAACACTCTTGACAAGGCCATGGCCCCCATCCTATTACTACAACAGCTCCAACCCGGACAGCGGTGCCACGATGCATCTGAGCAGCACAATGGAACAAGAGCTGTGTTGGTCGGGCAAAATGGGCGACTGACACCGGTCAGCATCTTACCATCAACCACCAATAGCATGCCACTTACATTCTATAGGCTACAAGAATGTCTATGTCAGAGGTGTGTCTGGTGACTCAGCATGCCCCAATCCGTCACCTGGGTGCAATTTAGTCTGCACACAGCACTGTATGGCATAGCCAGCAGACTTTTATTGCCGAGTCAGCCATATCAGACTCTTGACACCTGAGCCGAATTCAAAGACAAAAAACTAAATCAGAGTCAGTTCCGACACCCATGTTCGCATGCAAAGACGTGCGATATTTACACATACAGCATGCATGTTGTACAGCATGATCCAGAAGACCAGAACAGCAGCACAAGAGAGCACGGCAAGGCGTTGTTGTATCTCGTCAACACAGTGCGTGTGTGATGTTTTGGTCAATGATCTAGGACCGAGAGGAGACGATGTGCACTCGTTGGCTCGGCTCGTTGGCAATTCTCAGTGCCCACTGCCCACCACATGTTTGACGATGCCTCAAACATGAAATTTTGCATTTCTTTTCAATTTTTCTGTCAGATGGCCAAATTGTCACTTTGGTATTCATCGAATTCAGTTGCTAACAAATCCTATTTCTAACCTTTGAAATGATCCACAGCAATTACCTCAATTTGAAGGGCAAACTATGGAGAAAAAATCAGACACCTTCTTTGGACACTATACATTGCCTCTCATTTCTTATTCTCCTCACTGGAGACAATGAGTTAAGCAAGTTGCCACAATACTGCCACCCTCCTGACCGCACATGAACAGCTGCATACGCTGCTGTCCAATTTTCTGACCTGCTCTAATAAAGCTTAGCTTTTGTGTTATTTTGTTTGGTTCTCTTCTGTTTTTTGGAAGGTCTTTATTTCAGTTTGGCCATTGGCCTTTTGTACTTCTGCGCAATCTCAGTGTCTTCTTCATAACACATAACGACAGGCATTTTGATGCTTGTTCGAGAAAAATCAGCAAAAGAAACAAACCCACCATGCATGCCCAACAGTGGCCAAAATGTTAAGAAATTCAGTACTCCTGGTATTTTTGACTCTACAGTAGACATCGGAATAGGAATACCAAGTTACTTTTCACACATGCCACTTCAGAGGTCAATAATAGTATAACATGTAGAAGTTCCAAAAATATAGAGAGAGCATGCAGGAGAGGAAACTTAAGGGAATCCCAGAAGAATCTGGTTGGCTTTAGCTTCCAAGCCAGATTTGGATTTTGTGTCAAAACCAAATTTCTGAACACAGATGCTCACCCGTCCGCCAATACAGAAAAGATGAATATTTAGGACACATCTCACACTGTTGTGTTGGTGTAGAATAGGCAGTCCTAAGCATGTGCAGATGCAGCTATATAATTCAAATTGCTTGAGATGATGAACTGTATGTAGAGGAACATGTATCTTGAGTGCTCGACTTGAAGAATCTGGTGTGTCTGCGCTAATAGGTTTCATGTTATATCAATTTGAGTGTGCTCGACTCTATTTGTTGAACTTGTGTTGTTCGATACATTTATGTTCAAACATGCAATTTTCCCAGTGTGTGTCCTATCTCCAGTTGGCTAAGCGGACTACTGGAAAGAAGTACTATGTACCAAAGTAAAACATTAAGACATATAGCAAAACCAAAAAGAAAGAGATAAATGAGTCATTCAGTGTGGACTAAGTTTATGAACCTTTAGATATTGAACTTGATTGAGCAAAGCTTTAGAACATTTCTTGAGGTCACCCTTGCTCTTATGGTATCTAGCACATAATCCACATATCTCCGGAACGCTAGCCCCATTTTGTACAATCTAGAAACACAACCAATCAGATAAACTGCAGGTCAATGCGGGAATAAAGATGAAAGCCAAGTAAAAGCTTATGAACCTGCTCAAGGATATCACCAATTATATCTAATAATTGACTTGATTGCCTGGTCTCTTTATTTGAATCATCTGAAGTGTTGCCTATGGATTTAGCTTCTTGAGTGTCATTAAGATGAGTAGCTTGTTCTTCAAGGGTGGTCATCACCTTGTCCAGTAAATCAACATTGAAGCACTTGTTGACGGACAAATTTAATACCATTTTGATAGCTTCAAGTGTCTGCACAGGATACCATGCATTATATTTTATCATTCTACTACACATTATAGCTGGCGCATAGGCCTAAGATACTCAGATATTCAAATGAGAGAACATCTCCGCCCCACAGGGAGACATGGAGAAAAGCTATCTACTTCATGAGATTAACAAACTTGGTATAATATGAAGATCTATTATTAAACCGTTGAGTACCAAAGATTACAAATGGTATTACACTAAATAAGTAAAGGAAGAAACAAACCATTGCATATCTGTAAGTATGATGCAAGAAGCCAAGTTACCAAAAGCCATGGGAAGAGCATCGCTGCAAGTCAGTTTTGACCTCAACCAGTGGCTGGAGTAGTTTCTTTTCTTCTTAATTATCTATGCATAGTACTAATCTATTTAGATATACTATACTAACAGAAGGGTTTCTCATGTGCTCTATTACCTTCAACAAAAACAAAAGATAATTAACGAGTATAAAGTCAGGATCAGATCCCGTAAAGGGGATTGTGCTGATGTGTGTGATCAGCTGAAAAGTACTCCACATCAATATACTTCTTACCAGTCGAATATTGCCTGTGTCCAAAGCAACCTTACTGTAATTTTCCCAAACTTGCCAACTATTCCTCCTATAAATAAATGATTTAATTTTAATAAGAAACAATTTACTTAATAAACTTATGGAATAGGAGGTGATACACACTTGAACTTAACAGCTTCCCTGAATGACTGGACTGACGCTTGACTCTTCCCTCTAATCATGTGCCTGAAAAACTGACATTATTAGATAGAGTAACAGATAAGAGAAAATCTTGTGAGAATAATCCTTGCTTAGGATTTAATCTAGTAGGTTTATGTATCCACTATTCAATAGGTAAGCCTTAGAAACTAAGGTAGCAGTAAGAAACTTTATTTTGTCATCTTGGTTACCACTAGTGGGCTGTCAGGTCCAAACCGACATACCTATGTACCGACCTTGTATCCTATATATGCCTACCACTATGAAATACAAGGATTGCCGTCTTTGCAGCACACACATAAACCATCTAGCCAAGTACCAGTGTACAAACCGACATACCTATGTACCGACCTTGTATCCTATATATACCACTATGAAATACAAGGACTGCAGCTTTTGCAGCACACACATAAACCATCTAGCCAAATACCAGTGTACGACAGGAAGAAAGAATTTCCAACAAATTTATGTCACAAAGATCAAAATGGTATTGCTTTCATTATAATCAAAATATCATAAAAATTTCTTGGGCCAACAAGTACACAAAACAAACGAGTGGTTCTTCCTTCCCCGGAACATGTAACCCCACCTGAGCATTGCAGCTTATGTAGCAGCTTTTACTTGCATGTTTGGTACACTATAATTTCCAAATGAACTATATACGAAAGTAACTCGATGCATTCTTTATGAAAGCTGGCTATTCCTAGTCCAAGATAGAACATAGCAGATAGCACTATCCAATAAGGTGAGCATGTCAAAACCAAAATGTTCTGGCGTTAGTTTGACCTGGTGAACTGAAGGGTTCAACTGAAATAAAGAAATATCAACAGTGCAAAGGAAGAGAAGCTAACTGCAACTACGAGGTGAATGAATACAGAAACAGGACACCTGATTCCATCACAGCTACAACATAGTAATGAAGGAATAAATATAGAAGGGTGAGCATACATGCAGGCTATATTGTTCCATGCTTCTCCATTTTCAGGATCTATCTGCACAGCACGACTAAAAGCATCCAAAGCCTTCTCAAGATCTTTGTACTGTTTTACTAGGGGAATAAGCTATTCTAAGCTTAGGTTTCCTATATTATAATATAAAAATATAGTACGAAAAATAGAAGGATCAACAAGAACCAGACAAAAGAACAAAGGCAAACCACAAAAAAGGAACAGCTAAAAGAGAACTGCGAGATAATCAACAGCTGGAACCTCTCCGATCATATCATGCTTTAACATCTAACAATTTTTGAAATCGTTAGCAAAATAGGACATTTTTGTGACCCAGTAGTAGAGCACCCTATTTGTGAACTGAGATAGAAATTTTGGCACCGATCGTATATTACATATTTAATATTTGAAACAGACCAAATGTATCTTGTACTGTCCAGAAGAAATGAAAATATGAGCGTACCAGACATTTCATCACTCCGACTCCTCCGACTCACATGTAAACATTGTGCAAGTACAGCAGCTTGCTGGACCGGAGTTAGTGATATATGTGTGCTTCCACTATTCGAGTAATTCACATTTTCTGCTAGCAAAGGCGTTCTTAGTATATCACAGACACTTTCACCAGGAACATAGCTCCTCGTCTTTGACAAAGCCACAACATCATCCGGAGCTCCTGTTTGTTCTGTTGATTGCCCCTCATCAGCTGCTCGTTTAGTGGTCTTTGTAATAAGTACCATTTGGGACTTCGCGTCCACCTATACCAAAGGATTGATCATTTCAAAAAGATTAAGGACAATGATTCCATATATGTTATGCAACAGCAACATGAATGATAGAAATGAAGTAGCTTTTAACTATATATGTGATGTATACATCATTGTTCTCTCATTTTCTAACAAGGTCCTCAAAAGTCAGACTACGAGGGAATCAGGTAGTGTCTATTTTCAGAAGGAAGTCAATACTGAAAAGCATTTCTTGCAAAATGACATGGTCCTCTATCATCAAGCTCCAGAAGCTAAAACAGAAACAGGAAGTGCCATGAGGTCGAGCACAATATACCTGGTGTATTGTTCGAAAACCAAGAATCCCTGTGAGGGAAAGATGAATCCCACATACCTCTTGAGCACTATCCAGATGCAACCTATACAAATACAAACGCCATAATTCTTTTAGGACAGTATTATGCTCAGATCAGCTACAGATTTTCTGTTCCCACTGCCATTCAGCATACAGGTTGAATAAATCAGGAAAGCTTCGGTACCCTATGATAGTAAATCAGGTACGTATTCATCTAGAAGTACAACACAGATAAGCTATCAAACATTCATGGAAAATATTTCTATAGAGAACATTTGTTTCCGAAAAAATGTCCCTGGATGTGTAATCAACTTTTTGCAGTTATTGGCTCGTGCTTTAAGTCAGTCTAGACATGTTATGCCCAGCACTTTAACTTCACGGCAGCCTCTGAACATCCCATGTAGTGATAAATAGTATTTTGAGTGTCTGACATACAAGACATGACTTCTTATCAACTATCCACTATCCAAGTTATTTCTACTTGTACAATAATTTCTGAACATCCCACGTAGTGAGAAATAGTATTTTGAGTGTCTGACAAACAAGACATTTGACTTCTTATGAACTATCTACTATCTAAGTTATTTCTACTTGTACACTAACTATCTACTTCGTTTTACATGTAACCTAAGAGAAATGAACTAGTGATATATTAGGGGCCTGTTCGGCAATCCATCGCTCCGAGAAATACGAGAATCTGCGGAGCATCTGTTTCTCCACTCCGTATTTTCAACTGAAGCTCGGGCCGCTCCGGGAGCGGAGTCGTGTGGAGTGGCGAGACTCCGAACAGGCCCTAGATAGCAACAGTTGGACATATAAATGTCTTCATACATTCTTACTGTTATTCAGTCTACCACTAGTGATCCTGAATAATTGCCTTAGGGCAAGTATACAAGTATACTGACATAGGCTTAGGTTCTTGTGAGAACACAAAAGCACACATATCCTCTAGGAAACTTGTGATATGATTTCTTACCTTGAAGCATCAACTCGACCATACTTATTTATACTCTGCAAATCCAGCTTCTAAAAGAGCAGCTGAGACTAAAGAAGAGCCTTCTCCATCACATAAGAAAGAACCCCAGTAGCTAGAAACCCTTTCAAGTTCACCAAAGTGGGCCAACATTTTATTTTTGTACACCTGTACTTGATCAAACAAAGAGGATGATAGCTCATCTAAAATATTCTGCTGGGACATGGATAATCTGCACAGCCACCATGATACACTGCAAAGGTCAGAGTCTAGGCTCTTTATGCTTGTCAACAGAAGTTCCGCAAAGACAATGAACTGCAAAATAATAACAAGATAAAAGCTAAGATTGCTCAAAAAATGAGATACACTATATATTTTTCTGAATTTATGTCAAAATCAATCACAACGCCCAACAAAAGGTACCCTCATACAACACTAGTTATAAGTTCTAAGTTATAACCTTTCAAAATTATGCATTTAATAAGCCCCATTTCCAATGAAAAGGCGATCCAAGAGATGGAACAACAACACTGCTAACATCCAATAATCCCCCTCCAACCCAAAAAGAGATGTATTTTGACTTGTTAAGACAAGACTTTGACCAACAGTTACTCCATTAATATGTCATAGCCTTGTCTTGACGAATCAAATATGCCTCGCATTTGCGATGGAGGGAATACTGAATTAAATTGAATTAGTACTAAACACTGGAGTAACAGTACATGCACCAATTTTGTAAATCAAAAGGAACTTTAGCCTGCTTAACACTTCTTTGCATGTCCATAGCCACATTGTCGTCTAGTGTCATTAGACATATAATGTGCCGGTCATTACGTGTTCTGTACGTGTTATGTGCGCAAAAATGACTAATACGGACAGGTCAAGCTTCATCCGGGATGGTTAAATCCGTTAAATGAGCTAACAATAATCTATATTATAGCTCATACAGAAACCTATAGTCCCAGTGTATTACTCCCTCCGATCCAAATTAGTTGTCGCTCAAACGGATGTATCTAGCACTAAAATGCGTCTTGATACGTCCATTTCAGCGACAACTAATATGAATTGGAGGGAGTACAAATTATGAGATATTTCAACGTAAAGCAACTGTCTACAGACAGATCATACAAAAGATGGAAGTAGAGTATACAGAAATAAAAACTGAAAGGAACTCCAATCGAGTAAAATTACAATGAGTGGACAGAACAAGCCACCTGAAAATATATACCTGCAAGAGCAAGAATTTCCCATGAACATGGGAACCAAAAGAAGCTAAATGATGAGAAGCCCATGCCTCCCATTTGCCTCCAGGATCACTATACCACCTTTCATCCAATGATGAAGTCCAAAAAGGAACGAATTTCCCATGAACATGTGAATCAATGGAAGCCCATTGATCCTGCTTGCCTCCAGCATCACTATACAACCCGTCATCGAATGATGAAGTACTAAAGAAAGGAAAGGGTGAATATTTTCTTGGAGGCCTGCAAATAGTTGGAAACAAACTCAAATAATTATTAGCCACATTAGCATCTATAGTACTAGAGAATTTACAAATGTCTGGAGGCTTGACGAATACACTAAATGAAGTTTCTACAAAGGAGAGAAGATGCAAGTAATCGAATTATCGATTCAAAACTTTACAAGACACGCAACCATATGCTGAAACACGTTATCCCATAATAATGAAATGCTGTAGAAAACAGTTGAGCTTTACCAACTCACCCTGTCACGTTCTGCTGCGTGAATGCGAGCAGCGCCGCCACCGCTGCGGAGAGAACAAGCGCGCACCTGCACTCGAACCCCTCGTCCGCCGCCCCTCCTCCGTCATCCCCCAGGACGAACACCTCGGCAGCGGCAGCGAGGTGGCCGTAGAACTGCGCAGGGGAGTCATCGTCAGCCTCGGTCGAGGCAGAGGCTCGGAGGATGTGCGGGACGGCGGAGGCGAGCGCAGCCGCGTAGTCCCCGAGCTCGACAGCGGCGAGGGCGGAGGCGACGACGGGGCCGAGAGGGTGGACTGGGGGAGGTGAATGAGGCGGTGGTCGGGAGGCTGCGGTGGGGAAGGTACAGCGCAGGAGGCGGAGCTCGACTTCACGGAGGGAGGTGGGGGAAGGGCTGGATGCCGCCATGGCGACGTCGAATGGTTATTTTTCTAGAGGGGTTAGAGCATCTCCAGGGGCCGGCGCGCGCAAAAGACAGCTTTAGTGTGCGCCCATTGTCTGGTTTGGGTCGCGCTAAAATGCACAGCGCGCTTTTATTCTACAAACTAAAAATGTAAGCATTGAAGTAAAAATTAGATAGATTGTATAGATTTTAAACGATACAAAGGTATTTTACATCTGAAACATAGATTGCATAATAAAAACGACAAACGATAAAAAACAAGATAGATTGCAAAAAAAAACTACTCTAAGTCGCTATCATCATCATCATTATCATCCTCGGCGGTGTCGTCCGAAGTATCTAGCCAGATGTCCAGCCACCGATCATCGTTCGACATGAAGAACGACTGCCCACCTGCTGCAACGAGGTCGGACTGCGCATTCGCCAACGCCTTCCGCCGACGCCTGTCCAACCGCTCCTCGTGGCGCCTTCGCGTGTCCTCCTCGCGACGCCTTGCCCAGTAGACCTGCTCGTAGGCGACGTCCTCCGGGTGGCGCCGGCGCCACTCCGCCATGACCCGCTCGTCCTCCTGGGCGACGAGGAGGCGGCGCTGCCGCTCGGGGTGCTCCGCACGGTCTTGTGCCGTGTTCAGACGCGGCGACGGGGCGAAGTCGAGCGCTTGCTGGAGCGTGTACACATCTTGAAAGTTCATCTGGCCGCGTGGCCGGCCTAGGCGCCACGCCGCCGTGTCGTACGTGCGGGCGGCCTCGCGCGCCGTCCCGTACGTGCCGAGGCCGAGCCGGAGATCGCCGGAGCGTATCTCCGCGTAGTAGCCGCCGTTGGGGCGCAGGCGGACGCCGCGGTAGCCGGACGCTCCTCGGCGGCGCGGCGGCATGGCGCGCGTCAGTGGCGGGGCGTTGGGACGGTGGAGGCGCGTCGGTAGCGGGGCGCTGGAACGGCGCGTGGCAGAGAGGGAGAGGAAGAGGAGAAGAGAAGGCGTGGAGAGGCGTGTGGCGCGCGCCGCACTTTATAGGCGCACCGAAAACGGTGCGCAAAAAATGGCACGCGAGCTGGCGCCTTTTCGCGCGCGCAAACGGTTCCCGCGCGCGTGATTTTCCCGCCACCGCTGGAGCGCGGCAAAACGCCCCACGCGCGCTAAAAGTTGCGTTTAGCGCGCGCGCATCGTTTCGCGTGACTGTTGGAGATGCTCTTAGGGTTTATACTCCATTAAGCTGGAGTCCATGTGTTTGGGCTTTCTTCGGTTGCC